GGTTCTCCAAACATTACCAGGCCATCCTAAGACTATGAATTTAGTCAGAAAGGTTTGCTCGCTACTGCCACTGGATCTTTTGTACAGGTATTAAGAGATTTATCGGGATCTCAGAATTATAGCCGCTATATGAGCCATTCCATCGCTAAAGGGTACCAAATACAAAAGTTGGCATTCAGACCCTATGAAGATGTTTTGGGCATTGGGCACTCGATGGGTTGGTCGTCAATCTTGATTCCTGGATCCAGAGAAGCCAACTTTGACTCTTGGGTGGCAAACCCGTTTGAAACTTCTAAACAGAGGAAAGAGAGGGAGGTGCATTCTCTTCTTGACAAACTCCCTCCAGAGACGATCATGTTGAACCCAACGAAGATTGGTTCAGTGAAGCCTACAAGAAAGAAAGAAAGACCGGCTAAACAGGAGATAAGAGGCAGAATTGGAAGGTGCTGTAGAAGCAGCAAAAAATATATTTATCAAGAAGAAAACTAAAGGTCGGAGTAAGCCAAGCAAGGTGGCAAAGAAGAAGAAAGAAGCAGTAGAGAAAGCTAAGAAGCCTTTCTTGGAACAAGCAGCTAAAGGGGATGGGTTATCGAAAAAGAAAAGGAAGAACATGGAAGAGGAAAGTCACCTGCCTGGATCTCTTCAGAGGTTTGCTCGGAAGAGACGAGCTAATTGATTTTTCAGAGAAAGTCAATTGAGTTAGGAATAGACTATTTTTTCATATTTTGTATTGACTATGATGCTGCTATTATGTAAATACATTTGATTTGAACAGAAATAGAATGTCAAACTAATAGAGCATTAGAATAAAGATGGAAGCCATCTTCAACAGAGCAGTATTAATTTACAGTAACTAGGAATGATAAATAGTAATATTTTACACCTGGGTTATTGCCTAAATTCAAGCTCCGAATACCCTTCGAAATCCTTTACGTTCAACATGTTTCTGGCAGAAGACGAGCGCTTGTAATCGGCATGTTTCAATATTATGAAAAGCAAAATGATCAACGAAAAACATTGTAGAAAGTGCAATGACCAAAATCATATCTTTTACTTTCATATTTTATCATATATGTTGAAATTACTTTAATATGTATTAACGAATAGTGTATGTTTTTATGCAAATCATATTTATTTACCGCTGTAATTAATTTTATTGTCTAGCACAAATAACAATAATTCCATTTTTACTTTGAAATCAATGTTTTACCTTTCAATATTTTTATATTTTACAACTCAATTAAAGATTCTTAATTTGAATTGATCATGATGTAGTTCAATAATCGGAATACATAAATTATATTATATAAGAGAGTAATACTATTGCTATTTAACTACTCTACTTTCTACAGTATTTTCTATTGACTATCTACAACATAATGCTTTATATGATAATGATCCAAAAGTTGGATTACTTAAAAGAGTCGTCAGGAAATTTGATTACTGTGTCAAATATACGGCACCACCCAGAAATGATGATCCCATAATTCCTACTGGAAGAGATGATAAATTGGGTAATGATTTGGTAAGTTTTTTAAAGAGCAATCAATGAAAAACATTAATTATAAAAAACAGGATTGTTGTATTGCCCGTTGCCACCACAATTTTTATTTGATACGTCACATTCTAAATGTTGTTAAATTCAATATTTCTTTATTGTAGCAATTATTTTTTAAATTCTTCGTTGAATTCTTATATTTAACTTTTCATTAATTAGTATGTATCATCATTGATGATAATTTATATCAAAATATTTTATTTTCATGCTTTGAAATAAGAAAAAACTAATTTTTTGCACTTTCTTTTTAAAAATCTGTGATGGAAAAATAAGTTGTTTTATGTCATTTTAACGAACTTTTAGACGTAAAACTGTTATCAAATACAAAATGAATTAACTAATGAAAAGTTTATGATAACAAATCGTTTAAAACATAAGTACTATAATGAGAAAAAATTAAGAACCTTAAGCACAATAAAATGTGATGCAATAAATAAAAATTGTGATCTGAATATACTTGCCTAGAAAACATAGCGAACTACCATAAGAGTTTTGCAAAATGCCATATTTGCCATTAGTTTCATTATGCACGAAAACAGAAATTAAAAGAAATCTTACACATGAAAACGTTATTTCTAGAAAAAAGCAGGAAACAAAAATGCTACAAACATTTGTTTAGTATAATTAAGAGCATGTTTGAATCCCCTTGATAGGAATGCAAAATGCATATTTTTTCCTCCTTATTTTATGTGCTCGTATGATCAATTAGTGCCAAAATGTATTCATTACGTTCATATTTTGATTTAGGTGGCAATTTAATAGAGATGACGTAATTTGGAAGAAATAGGTGAAAAGGAATCAAAGTGAAAGGAAATGAAAGTTCAAGGACTAACGTGGAAATATACAAAAGTTGTGTCCAACTAAACGATAAAGATTTGAGAGTTTTAGAAGTCAATTGAATGAAGAAAAAAGTCAAAAGGATGAAATATCGTCAAAATAGGATCACACATCAATTTCCAATTAAAAAGTTATACATCGAATTTTCAGTCTCAATTTGAGACCCACTTTTGACATGGTAAACGATCGAATTGGAAGATGATATCTGAAGTAAAGTTGTAGCCCTTTGAGTTAGCTTTCCAACGCATCTTGAATCACCTCAATCAAATATCAGGAGAGAAAGATACGACCAAAATACTAGAAGCCGCTCAGCTACGTTGGTGGGGCGCCCGCCTGACCATATACTTCATTAACATAAGCCAATATTTTGGCCTGGATGGCCGCCCCATTTTCTACTGAGTGCCCGCCCAGGCCAAATCAGGGAAAATTTTCTGGTTCCTGAATTTAAGTCAATCACCTATGGAAACAACTATAAATACATATTTTAAAACTCTAAAACACACGAAAAACATACCAGAACGCCTCCAACCTATTTTCTTTCTATTTTTCTTAGATCTATCATGTGTAACTAACTCTTGGTGCTTGATTGAAAGATACCGAAGCCTTGAAAAATATTATAACTGTGAGATCCACCTGTTTTCATAGTTTAATTTATATTTTCAGTATTGAATATTCTTCTTCTATGCATAATTTTATGATTGTCATGTTTGATTGCTAAGAGATCTATTAGTTTTTCATATATTGCAATCTATAACTAAGTTAAATCTCAAATTCGTAATTGTTTGAATCATTTAACTTGTGAAGCACTAGGATTTAATAATTTTATGCGATAGATGTTATTAAATTTTAAGAAGAATGTTTAAATAGATTGAATGCAACCGCTAGTGTTCGTATTATCTAGTTCATCGATTTCTCTATTATTTAAAGCTGTTATTAAATTGAATCTTTATCAGTGATCTAGGATTATTTAATAATTATGGTTAATTAGAACGCTGGTTTCTGATTAACTAAAATTAAGGAGAAATATAAATTTATTCCAACAATGAATATTGTGACTATGGATTGATTATTTTTTGTGGATTGATGAATTGTCATAAATCTCCAATATTGAAAGTTGACTTTGATCAAGACTCGTTTCATTGATTTAATACAACTCTTTAATTTACATTGTTATTTGTTATAAGATTGATTTCGTTATAAACAAAACCCCCCACAATCGTTATACAAAGCATAAATTGTTGAATTGCACACTTTTCTTGGGGATCGACCCTTACTTCCATTACTACATTAATTTTAGAGATTTAAGAACTATTTTTGGGTGCCTACGACAGTACACCACCCATTTTTTGCAAAAAAAAAAAAAAGAATACATTTTAAAATAGTGATTTGATGAATAATGTGTGATTAAAAAATAAGAAAAAAAATTTGAATTACATATATTATTATTTTATTGAAGAATATGTAATTGAAAATAAAAGAAAAAAAATGTATTTATAGGAGATCAAACAATAATAAAAATACCACAATCAATTGAAACACAATATTATCTTTAAAAAATTGTTCATAATGTATAAATACTCAAATCTAAAATATTCACCAAGTTCACGGATCAATTTCCTTCATCGAAAGATAGATGGAGGTAAAATATATTTCCTTCAATTGATTATTGGAAAACGAGTTTGTTACAACATGAAAATTAATAAATTGAAGCCCCAAATTAAGTTAATTTTAAGTAAGTTTGAACCTTTTTTAGTTAAGTTTCCAAACACTTCGATGCACGGTTATTTTTTTTTTTGGCTAAGTGTATAATATCCGAAGTATGAAAGAAAAGTACAAGACCATAGGAGCATACCACAGAAAAACAAGGCTAGAAAATCGAGAAAATATGCTTCATAGCACAAACAATAACTAGTGCTAATAACCTAGTCACAAAAATATCCACAAAAAAACCCCATCAGCATTGGAACCATCTATTCTCGTAAGATGAAACCAAGCCCCTACATAAATTCACTCGTGCACAAACAGAAAAAATAATGTCTCGAATAACAATAGACTCATGTTTATGAGCCTCACCATGGGTTCTATTGTTACACTCACGCCAAATAGCATAAATCGAAGCTACAAACATTAAATGAATAACAATGGAGCGCACTGATCTCTCACGAAACTGCTTCATCCAAGAAAGAGTTTCTGTCCAACTCCGTCGAACCAAGGCAAGTTACATTTAGCATGCCAAACGCTCTCAGAAAATGGGCAGGTAAAGAAGAGATTATCAAAATCCTCCACCGAACAACCACACAACACACAATGCATAGACTGTACAAACCAAAACGAAGAAGCTTTAACTGCACATAGAAGCCACATTGGATTACTAGGCAAACGATAAATAGATGACGGGGAATACACTCAGGAAATCATACGATGTGATGCCAGGTCACCCTACGACAACAAAGTCGAAGAGACTCCCAAGCACTCAGAACAAAGAAGACTCCGTGCACATTTTCCACCCATCGCAAGACATCCTCTCTAGTACCATATGACAGAAAAGTATCAAGCGTACCTTACATCAAGTCAAACAACACTGGGGAACGACATGATGGCCACCTCCAAGTATCACCTTCAACAATATCTGCCACTAGGGACGAATCCAGCACCTGGCCAACCCCCGCGGCCACCCATGCTAGGCCCGCTGGGAACAAATTTTTTTTTGTTGACAATAGATAAATACTTAAAATATATAGCTGATAATTCATTTTATTTTCAAACATCTCTCATAGCTCATTTGGTTAGAGCTTGCATTTTCATGCTATATGCCCTGGGTTCAAGTCTCCTTCCAACCAGTCTATTATGTAATAATTTTAGTTCTACAATTTTTACCAAAATTAATGGAATATGGGAGGATTTGAACATGTGACCTTTGTTAGGATTATTGACATATTTACCATTATGACAATTGATGAATTTGACACTAAAATTAAACAGAGTTATATGTTAAGTTTTAGTGATGTTAATGCAATTGTAAAAATTCGAACCCGCTCTTTATTTGAATTATAACTTGACTACAATGTCATTTGGTGAATATTGTTAACTCATACAACAAAATTATATATATTGAGTTTGAACAAAATAATTGTTATATTTAAATTTTAGGTTTTGATTCCTATGTTTTTTTAAAAATATACTTTTCTCTCTTCTTTTCAACCACATTTTTCAATAAAATAATATTATACGCAAATTCAAATTTTCTCCTTATTTCTAAACACACATTCTTCATCAAATCAATATTCTAAAATGCATTTTTTGCAAAAAATAGGCATCAAATGAGCTCTTAATATTTTATTACTACCGACAATCAATGGCCGCCTGTGCCGACTTAAAATCCTGGATCTGTCACTGTCTTCCACCTTAGCTTATCTACTCAATCTAGAGTCATGGACGATCCTCTCACTCAAAATCTTCTCTAAAGGACCAAGAGGATACCAATTATCAAACCAAAGCGAAGTAAGTCCACCATTACCAATTCTGAATTGCATTTTGTCCCTCTATACCCCGAAGTCCAAGAATCTTCCTCCTACTCCAAGAGCAATCCCCATGACACTTCAATTCCCAAATACTCCTACCTCTAAGTAACATCGTGCCCATGTAACCCAAAGAGAGGAGGCAGAATCCGTACAAAGGGACCAAAGGTGCTTTAACATGGCAGCCTTATTCCAAATCTCCATGTTTCACAAACCCAAACTACCCTCTTCCTTAGGCATACAAATCTTTGACACGTCATTGCCACCAATGCATGATCTGCCACATCAACTCATGTGAGATAACGAAATGAAGTATGCAATGGCTACTAGATAACCTCCTTTTACTTTTTCAATATAAAAGCCTTTTGATTTGTCTATTCGTTCAGCCAAGTCTAGTTCACTTCAGTTCAATCCAAGCTCTGAATCTTCTCTTCAACTGTCCACTGCAAACTCATAGTTTCATAAAATCATCTTGCAAATTTTCTTCCTTTGTTCCAATACATTACCTAAGCAATATACGGACTCATTTGACCTGACTTTTAAAAAGATAAAAAACTGCTTCTGAAACTAAAAAAGAAGCTCTTGAACGTATTTCGATGCTTTTAGAGAAAGTTGACTTAAAGTAGCTTCCTTAGAAAGCTACTCTACAAGAATCAAAAGCAAAACCCTGCCAAACGAGCCCTAAGTCACCAATGGTGGCGGTTAACATTCATATCAGCTGCAGCTGCAGCTGCATTCATTCTCCTGATCATAATAATGCATAACAGAAGTAAAAATGTACTAACCATTCCTACACCCACCTCCAGGAAGAGAGTACTACAATCACGCTGCCCGTCATCCAGTATACCAATGCCCCACATGCTGCCCTACAAAGGATCGATTCAACAAATTATTCTTTCTGAGAAGATAGGACACCACTACAATAGACAAGATTTCATAGTAATGCAGTGAACCGGTATAGTACCTCACCAAACAAGCGAAAATAAGAAAAATCCTTCTGATCGTGACATAAATCTATGTACACAGCTCTTACTGTGTATGCATCTATTCAACTAGAACTATTCACAAGTAGCAGCCTCAGAGGGAAGGAAGCATAATTAAGCTCCAATACCTTCAAACGAAATAATCCACAGCCAAACTCAAATGGATTGCAAGCATATGTTATTTCATAAGAGAGCCTAAAGCAGATTAGTAGCAAACATAACCATCTTCAACAGATGTCTTTAAATTTTCTTAAATATGGAAGTAAGAACTTCAATTGATTACTATAAGATATCGATGGGAAATATAGCAAACGTGTATTTTTCAGCTTATCAGCATGAGTTTAATAGCTCTACAGCTTATTCACAAACAACAAACAACTATCAATATTTACAGAAATAAATATATGAAGTCAGGGTGAACCACATCCAAGAGAGAAAAAAATATGGCACCAAAACATAGTGAAAAATTGCTTCGGGACGTCTTCTTCAGAACTGTTATTAAGTGACTTCAGCTGCAGAATAGAATCGTAAGAGTATAAAAAACATCTAATCTTCATTATTGAAAGGATACACGAGCGAGATCAATTCTTGGCCTCTTTTCAACCTTTGCGTCCCCTGATACAAGAGAGACGAGATATAAATCAGCTACCTTTAAGATGATAACATAGTGAATGATTGCTTCGGGACGTCTTCTTCAGAACTGTAATTAAGTGACTTTAGCTGCAGAATAGAATCGAAAGAGTATAAAAAACATCTAATCTTCATTATTGAAAGGATAAATAAGAGCAAGATCAATTCCTAGCTTCCTTTCAACCTTCACGTCCCCTGATACAAAAGAGACGAGATATAAATCAGCTACATTTAAGATGATAACACAGTGAATGATTGCTTCGGGACGTCTTCTTCAGAACTGAAATTAAGTGACTTCGTCTACATAACAGAATCAAAAGAGTACAAAAAATATCTAATATTCATTATTGAAAGGATACATGAGAGCAATATCAATTCTTGGCCTCCTTTCAACCTTCGCGTCCCCTGATACAAGAGAGACAAGATAAAATCAGCTACATTTAAGATAACAAACAACCATCAAATAATCATAAACTGTACTCAATACGAGGAACAGGAAGAGTATTGTGGAGACCATGAGAATCAAAGAATTGTAGTAACAGAACACTTATGGTTTTCAACTTTCAACTAAATATCTCCAAATTGATTTGCAAGATCTTGTAAATCCTCATCCCAATCTGGTGTTTTTGCTACCAAATCTTCCACTTTTGCAACTAATGGTTCATTGGCTGCCAAGATTTCTTCGGCTTGATAGTCAACAATTAGATCTTCCCCGAGCATTTCCTCCAACATACCCTCTGCAATAGAATTCAACTCGGTGCCAGGGCCAATCTCTGATGTAGTGTCCTTTGGAGAGGGAAACAATGTCTCTATGTCTAATTGAATGTTCACAAGCTCCTCTTCATCTTGACTTGTATAGTTCGAAGACTGATTAACGCCCATTGCAACGGATACAGCATCCTGCGAATTCTCGACCCTTGGACTCATAGTAAGTCTCCTCTTTTGCCCAATCTCTAAGCGCTCTTGCTTCTGCGCATATTTATCCATATAATGCTGGACAAACATCGGATTTCCGAAGGCTTTAGCANACAGTGAATGATTGCTTCGGGACGTCTTCTTCAGAACTGAAATTAAGTGACTTCGTCTACATAACAGAATCAAAAGAGTACAAAAAATATCTAATATTCATTATTGAAAGGATACATGAGAGCAATATCAATTCTTGGCCTCCTTTCAACCTTCGCGTCCCCTGATACAAGAGAGACAAGATAAAATCAGCTACATTTAAGATAACAAACAACCATCAAATAATCATAAACTGTACTCAATACGAGGAACAGGAAGAGTATTGTGGAGACCATGAGAATCAAAGAATTGTAGTAACAGAACACTTATGGTTTTCAACTTTCAACTAAATATCTCCAAATTGATTTGCAAGATCTTGTAAATCCTCATCCCAATCTGGTGTTTTTGCTACCAAATCTTCCACTTTTGCAACTAATGGTTCATTGGCTGCCAAGATTTCTTCGGCTTGATAGTCAACAATTAGATCTTCCCCGAGCATTTCCTCCAACATACCCTCTGCAATAGAATTCAACTCGGTGCCAGGGCCAATCTCTGATGTAGTGTCCTTTGGAGAGGGAAACAATGTCTCTATGTCTAATTGAATGTTCACAAGCTCCTCTTCATCTTGACTTGTATAGTTCGAAGACTGATTAACGCCCATTGCAACGGATACAGCATCCTGCGAATTCTCGACCCTTGGACTCATAGTAAGTCTCCTCTTTTGCCCAATCTCTAAGCGCTCTTGCTTCTGCGCATATTTATCCATATAATGCTGGACAAACATCGGATTTCCGAAGGCTTTAGCAATGAAACTCATCATTTGTTGTTGCTTCCTTTCAGTGCTGCAAATTCTTTCTTCAATTTCCATGATCTGCTCCCTTGAGTTATGCTGTTGTTGTTTCAGATTCACAATTTCCATCATCAACACATCCCTATCACGTTTCAGTCTTTCGACTTCTTCTTCCACACCAAAACGCCCCAACTCAACGCATGAACTTCCTCCTTGCGAAGTCGAGCTTTGCATGACATTTCGTTTCCTCTTGATTGTCTTCAAAAGATGCTTCTGTCCTCCCAAAAATCCCTCATTCGCAAATTCCCATCTATCGGGATCCACCTTTCTAAAGCCCTACGTGTTTCAATAATTGAGTTAGCTAACATGTCAGAACGAAAAAAATTGAAAAAAGAAAAAGAAAATAATATGAAATTGTCATGGGTTATTGAAAAACTTACATATGTGTTAAGCTGGCGAATGAAGCTGGAGAAATTGCTGTGCTTGAAGTACTTAGGGAGAAGAATGGTGGAGAATTTGTGAGAATCCCACACAATAAAACTGTTCCTACTCCTGCTCCAAGAAATCACTGCATCTGTTGCAGAATCCTCCACAATCTCAAAAATCTTGATCAGAAAAGGCGGTGGACCCACGTCATGCAACCCCTCCATTGGCTGTGCAGACACTGTACCGGTGTCGGTGGTTGTTAACTCTTCTTCCAGCTTCTCTGCCATGCCTTCCATGAAGTACACTAATATATTTTGTCAGGGTTCAAGATTATTGAATTTTCTGTAACGAATTAGATTTCAGAGAGGGAGGCAGAGAGTGAGGAAAAGTATATATGGAGGTGGAGTGGAAGTTCTAGAAATTTTGAGAAAAGAAAAGGACAATGGAAAACGGGAGACTTTGTCAATAATTTATTAATTTATATATATTCTCGAATTATTTATCTATTTTTTAAATTTAGAAGTTTCCTTAGAGGTGCACGGCTGATATATTGTGGGACCGTTCACAGTTAATTCAGATATTTTGTAGGAAAAATCTAGAAACTTCTCAAGGTTTAGGGTATAACTATTTTGCTAATTGGGCTTAGGATTACATTCAGTTTGTAAAACATGGGAACAAGTCACACCAGCATTAAGCACTTGTTTGACCTCCATTATTTGAAAAAACTTGATTTTGAAATAATATTATTTTGAAGAATGTGTGATTAAAAAATAAGGATAATTGTTAAATTTATGTGTAATATTATTTTATTGATAGAATGAGTGGTTGATAAAACGAGGAAGAAAAATGAATTAAAATTTAATTGGCCCAAACATGGGCTAAAAGAAGAGAAAATTACACCTACACCTACTTTTAGATTTCTATTTTCACAAATCCTATCACAAGTTTAAAGTTTCAATTATCAGGTTTTTATATTTAATTAATATTAATTATATAATTTTCGATCCAATTAAAATCACCCAAATCAAACTCTAAAATTCATTGCATCTAAGGTCCCATTCTCTCTCCTCCCTCCCATTTCTCTCCTCCCCGTCGCTGTGGCCAGAGAACCGTCTCCTGAGGTCCTTCCACTCGTCGGAGAAGTAAGGGAACTGGCCTATCTGCTCACGGCCACGGTGTCCCGCTCCCATTCTCTCTCATCCATCATCGTCTGTGACCAGAAAATCGCTGCCTAAGATTCTTCCACTCGCCGGCGAAATAAGGGAACCGCCACTGGTGTTCTCGCGGTGAAATAAGGGAACTGCTTACGGCCGACGGTGTTCTCGCTCCAATCTCATCTCAACTCCAGTCTATCTACTCAAAAGCAGTCGCGCGCCACAGTGACCTCTGACGATTCTTCCCATCGCAACGACCACTCCCTCTCTCGTCTTCACATCTCTCGTTACTCCATCGCCGACTGCGCAGTCCTCTCTGTCAGTTTTTATTTTTTTATTTTGTGAGGGTGCAGATCTGTTAAGTGGAAGTGTGTATGCGTTGATTTGGCGGCGGGTACGATGGGGGTGTATATGGGCGCGTCTTCAGATCTGTTTTTTTTTAGTGGTGCGATGCGGTGGCAATGGAGTGGTGTTGCCGAGGATACAGTGGGGTTTTTTGGTTGTGGTGTGGTGCAGGCAGCGGTTGTGTGGTGGTTGTCCTTTTTTGTTGTTGGGGGAGATGGTGTGGTGGTCGTGTGGTGCAGGTGGCGGTTGTTGGTGGTTTTAGTAGTGTTGTGCAGGTGGCTGTCGGCGTTGGTGTGGCAGCGGCGGCAGTGTGTGGTGGTTGCTGGGGTGTTTGTGGCAGCGGAGGCGGCGGTTTATGTGGTGGCGGTGGTGTGTTTCTATGGTGTTGGCGGTGGAGACGACGGTGGTGGTGGTCACAAAGGATTTGTTGATTGTGACCATTAAATTGGTTGGTGTGTGACCAATAAAGAATAAATTGTGACCGATAAATATTTTGNTGATAAATACTTTGTGACCGCAAATTTATTAATTTGTGACCAATAAAAGTTATTTGTGACCTATAATTCGTTGTTTTGTGACTATAAAATAAGATGTGTGACTTCAAAATTTTATGATATGTGACCGATGAAACAATTGTGACTTTTAAATTTTTAATTTGTGACCGATGAATTAATTGTGACCTATCAAATTTTTGAATTATGATCTTAAAATTTTTGAATTGTGACCAAATTGTATAGATCTGTGACCTTTATATATTTATTAATTAAATATATAATTAATTAATTAAATTATAAATAAATTTTAATGAAAACCTGATTTTTGAAATTTAAAACCTCAAACCTTAATTTTGAAATGGTGATACTTAAATACCTTATTTATGTATCGTTCCCTTAAAAGAATGAATAATGTTAGAATAATGTTATTTAGTCTTATTGAGGTTACAATTTCAGTCTAGGTGACGTTACTTGGCATTAAATAATAAGTGAAATTAAATAAGTTATTTAATTCTATATTTTATTTAGACTATCATCTAGCGTCATTTACACTAGCGTTGTAATTTCAGTGGGGTTACATAGCATTATTCATAATATTATTCATAGTGAAAACTATCAACAGTCATCTTCGCACATGACAATTTATTGTTTGATGTATAAGTCAATAAAAAACTACCACTTAATACATCAAACAACGAGCTATTATGTGTATACCACGTAAGATGACAACTACCGATAACTTTACTATGAATAGCATTACCCTGAAAGAATTTATTAATTTCATAGTGTTTTGTTTTTTCTTTTAAATCTCAAAATACTACTTTTTTATTTTTATTTTTATTTTGTAAAACTATACTACACATCTCACCACCCTATTGCTGCCATTACCGTCCTTGCCTCAGGCCAACCCAACTAGGCCAGGGCCTAAGGCCTCTAATTTTAAGAGGCCTCAACTACATGGTCCAACTAGAAAATGAGTTAATTAAAAATTCATTTAACTATAATTTTCTTTGCCGATTTTAACTCTTTGAGCTTATTCAAAATAAATTTTTTTTCGAGTTTAATAGTCATGATTAATTATGAGCTACCAAATGAGCCTAATATTGTTACGGTAATATGGTTTATTTTGAAAACTAATACTACACATTAAATACTTTACTTTAATGAGTTATAACTACAATTTGGTTTAACCAAATTAACTTTTTTCTCGAATCCATAATGCAATATTTTTATGAGTTTCAAAATGAGTCTAATATTGCTAGAATAAATTTCAATCCTCAAATAAATATTCATTTGATCCAAATATATTATTCTCTTCTAAACTTATTTTCACTTTAATCACTCAAAATCCCAAAATTATTAAAAGGTTCTCGAATCAAAGTCCTTAATATATTAGGGAATAATTATGCTAAATATTATGTTACCCGGTAAGATTTTCTTTTTTTTTCTACTATTCTATCTTTTGGATCGTACCAAGTTTTCGTTTAAAATATAAATATATTATTTATTTAATTATCTTTACACTCAAATAAAAATTACATTTAGAAGCTTCATAATAATAAGTCGCTTCAGGCATTAGAATTTTCAGGGCCGGCCCCGATTGTCACCACCACCATTTGTATCACAACATGTTACGCCTCCACCCATGTAACAAGTAGTGTTGCGATGTCTATTTCCAACACAAACAACATTGAAATATCAACCACCAACATCTACATCTTTATGTTCTTCCACTCCACCAAACCCTAACCATCAATACCAATTCAGCCACTCGCACCACCAAAAAAAAGAAAAATCATCATCCGACCGTCTATCTCCACCATAAGCCCAACCAATCAACACCAACGCGACGCCTTCACCACCCTATAGTCAAATGTTCATACCACCACAAAAACAATTTCAAAAATTAAAAACAAAAATGATACTTGGACTAAGCTCTCTGATTTCAACAGATTCGAATCTCGTTTCATATCAAAAATCAAATCTATTGTCACGTCGACAGTGGTAAAAGGAGGCATTGGTGGCGAGAAGGTGAAAGGAGTAGGTGGTGGAAGTTCGCTGACAATGGTTAAGTTGTAGTCGTACAATCGGGAAAAGAAATATTTGACCATAAAGGGTCGGGTTGAAATCAATTTGAAAATTTTTCCGTCTTGACAACTTTTTCATACTATAGATAATGATTGAAAGTGGCTATGCACACACGCACCGATTGAACATTGGATAAGCCTAAATGATTTTCGCTAGCTGTATTTGGAGCATATTTGTGAATTAATTATACAAGTTTACACTCGTTGATTATTATGTCAAACTATCTAATGTTATTAATCTTTATCATGTATTACTTGATTGTGTTAGTAGCTAATCTTGTTCGAGATGAACAAGAGCTTAAATTTGAGAGTATTTGATAAGTGTGTTTTTGCACACTTATTTAATACCTAAACATGTTTATTATTGATAAAAATGAACGAATTTCTACTCACAATTATGTAATTATTGTTTTTGTAGGTAAAAATCACTCAAATGAAAAAGACAAAGACAAAGACAAAAGGAGGAAAATGACTAAAGGTGTGCAAAATTGTGAAATTGAGGATCAAATTGTACAATATCAAAGTTGAGGGACTTGACATGCAATTATTTAATGCACTTGGCTGCAAAATAAAACCAATAATTTATGGTTTTGATCATTTGGATAGAACCTTGGCGCCTAGGCGCCACCTTTAAAAATGTGGGGGTTGTTTTAATTATTTTATATAATCCCAGGGACTAAAGTGAAAATTCTGAATTGGTTTCTAGGTTTTAAAACCCTTTTGACGTGATGGGAAAAGGGGGAATTTGCTGGGCTGCAGCTTTGTTTTTTTCCTTTGGGCTTTTCATTTTCTTTTTTCACTCATTTTCTTTTTGGTACTTTGAGAGCAAAATCAAGAATACAACAAGAAGAATAAATCAAAGAAAAGATCGAGAAGAAGTGGGGGAATCAAAATTTAAGTAAATCCATCCAAAAAGGGTTTTCTCTTTAATCTTGTATTTTCTTTATTATTTTATATCATTTGTATTGCATTGGATAAATATTCTCATTAGTTATCATTTATATAATGTGGGCTAAATTTTATTGTTGGGATTTATGGTGAAAACTTAAAATAACTTGGATTAATTTCAATTTTTGCCTTTTAATGTTAAAATGCTTATTTTCATGTGTATTTATTATTGTGTTGAATGATTTTCATTTATTTGGCAATTAAATGATTGAGTTTGGTGATTTGTATATCGTTCGAGAGAAGATTATACATTTTAGAC